AGAGGCCAGCTTTTCCTGTTAAATTTCTCTATGCTCTGCACCCCCAAACTCCCTATTTATATTGTCATCAAAGCGAAGGTTAATGTTCTGATTCTCCAAACAAATGCCTCCAAACAAACTTCCTTGAAAGCTTGGCGCCATTTTACAAATAAACCAGATAGGATTTGTTTTTTTCCCCAACTCTCATTGGATAATTTGCTAACTTGCTTTTGGTGTTTGACTGCAATCTCAGTTAGTCCACCTAAACCTGTATAAGAGCAGGAATGACACGCTGTGTGACTCTCTCTGTATCAAATGTATGATACTTCAGATTACCAGTTTAAAGAAATATTTGAATATACATTGGATTTTGTTCATGCTAAAGTGGGTGATTGAGCTACATTGACATTATGGTTTAAAACAAGAATTTGAGATTGGGTTATATTCTGTGAGTATACAGCTGTCATTTGCTTTGGTTAGTTTTTTTGAGGTGGCAGCAACTTCCACTAGTTAGATACAACAAAACATTGCAACCAATCCATAAACTTAAATGACATGACGTTAAATTATTTATTAAACATTGCCAGTATGGATAGTCAGTGATGCAACATCAACTGTGGAACAGGAGTGATAGTCATGTTCCAGAGCTTGGAACTGAGCTGAGTTCAGTCCAGTTTTACAAAAGGATGGTCATCACCTTTTCTGAATCTTCACAGTTGTATATGGTGATTGAGGAGTCAGACTAATCATATATATATACACACATCAAATTGATGTGCTTCAAGACGGAGATTTCCTTTAGGGTCAAAATATAGCAATTCCCCTTATGGCGTTGGGATCAAAACGCATAACAAAATTTTACCTACAAAAGTGTAGGTAGAGGAGCTTCTAAGATATTCTAGTCATTTCTTTGTCCTGATAATCCTGTAATTTCAGTGACGAGTGCAAAATCCAATTGAACAGGCAAAGAGAAAAAAGAAAATTTTCAAACCAAAATAGTGTGATGATGTGGGAGGGATGAGTATATAATGGAAGTTTCCTTTCAGAGTTTACCAGAAGGAGGCATAGATAATTGAGATTCTGCTGTGCACACAATTGGCAATTCCAGCACAAATTGCATTCAAAATTGTACCCATTTTGAAAAGTGTTTTTTTGTCCAAAATTTCTGCTCCAGCTCATTTACATACTGCAGAACACAATCTGCTTTAAACCACTTCAATTTGGCAACGTTTTAAATTTTTTTAAAGAGCATAGTTTACTGCAAAAACCAATACTTGGCATTTTTGAATGTTAAATTCATGAAATTTGATTTATAAGACATAGGAGCACAATTAGGCCATTCGGCCCATTGAGCCTTCTTCAACATTCGATTATGGCTGATAAGTTTCTCAAGCCCAATCTCCTGGTTTCTCCCTGTAACCCTTGATTCACTTATTAATCAAGAACCTATCTATCTCTGCCTTAAATCACCCAATGACTTGGTCTCCATGGCTTTCTGCAGCAGTGGGTCCTCAGAATCACCACCCTCTGGCTGAATGGGTTTATCACAAAAAAAGACTTTTAAATCCATGCCAATAAACCACTTGTAAGTAATCTGAAACTGAATTACTGAAAATGATTTTTTTTTAAAAGCCCATGGCAAGATTGGGATAATAATCTGCAGTAGACTTTTGGGAAAGAAACCTCTTAAAATGTATCCATTTGTGTCCCTGTGCCAAAACATTTTAGCATAATTAGTGGGAATTCCCAGTTGCAATTAACTTGCCATGTGGGCACAGCCAGTTTTGTGAACAGCGTTTACTTCTCGTGCAGTCTGTTCAAATCAATACAAATGATAATAGAAATTCTGTGCTGAACACAATTTTTATTCAAAATTCCACCATCTTGAGTGCTGTTTACTTAAATTATGATTGAACTGCAATGAAGGGTGCATTTAGGCAGAAATGCTACATCAAAGTTTTATTCTTAAAGATGTACTTCCTTATACATTGCACATTTGTATATTTAGCAATGGCAAATGATAGATTCTCAAGTGTTTGTTTTACATTTGGCAAGGCCAGCATTTTTGCTTATCTCTAATTATCGTAGAGAAGATTTAATGGTGAGTTGCCTTCCTGAATTGCTGCAGTCCCTGTGCTGTAGTAACATCCGCAGTGCTATTGGGAGGGAGTTGTAAGGCATTGACCGAATGATAATGAAGGAATGACAGTATATTTATTTATTAGGATGGCATTTGTTCTTATATGCAGTGGAGATTGTGGGTTTAGAAGATGCTGTGACGGAGCCTTACCAATTTTCAGCAGTGCGTCTTGTGGATGGTATACACTGCTGCCACTGAGCACCAGTAATGAAAGTAGTGAACATTTAAGGTGGAGGATGGGAAGCCAGTCAACTGAACCGCCAGTTTCTTGAATGTTATTGCAGCTGCATTCATTCAGCAAGTGCAGTATATTCCATCACATTTTTAAAAAGAGATCTCAGTTGCTCAGAGCCTGTATTTCGTACACATAATGAGAGAGATCTTTGATCTAACAAAATCTGTTACTTCCATTGCTGTTTGTATCATGAGACGTATTTCCTCATTATAGCCTGGCTTCAAAACCCGCTGCAATTAGTAAGATGAGGCCACTATTGAAAAATTGCTTATTTCCTGAATTCCACTATTTTGTTTGTTATTAAGTACACTTAAAGATAACTTTTCAAAACTCTAGTTTCACATAAAAACTAGACAATATTTATTTCTGATAGCTTCTTCAATCTTGTGTTGTCCATATAATGACCCCTCCTTTATATGACAATACAGATCACAAAGTAAGATCTGTAATTGTGGTTTCAAGTCTAATCAGAGTAATGGTGCAATGATTTTATCAATTAGTTTTTTAAATTACTTAGCATATGTTTTGTCCCTGATTATCCCTCACTACTTCTTACTGACCTTTTTATTATTTCAATATTTATGGAAGACTTTTGGATTCCCCTTTGGTTCCCCTATAGTCAGCCTGGTTTTCACTTATGTTATCAACCTAACATCTGTCATGTGCCTCCTTTTCTGTTTAATTTTATTCTCTACCCCTTTCGTGAATTAGGGGCTGTGCCTTTGGTTGTCGTGTCTACCTCTTGTGGGAATGTACCTCCTCTGAATCGGAGCACCTCCTCTTTAAAGGCAGTTACTGTTGCAGACTTGCCAAATCATGCATAACACTCTGAAAATCACCCTTTTCTGATTAAATATTTTTATGTTAGTTTGCTCCTTGTCTTTCTCCGGTAGTTTCTAAGTATTTTATGATATGGCAGTCATTTAGCGACATGATCACAAAATGCAGCTCCAGTGTTCGCACACATTTGCTAACAACACACAGCTGTATTTCACCAACATTTCTATTGGAACTTGCATTGTCACTAAATTATAAGACATTATAAGTTAATTTGCTCAACATCTCATACTCTAAGCAAAATCTTCCTCCAATATTGGAAATACCAAATCCATTGTCTTTGGCCCCTACTACAAACTGTTTCCTTGAAAACAGCACCAATCCCGTCTCTATTTGAGCTCTATCTTAAGTGTCATGTATAACCTCAAGCTGTGCTTTTAACTATGCTTCTGTGCCACGACTAAGACCACATACTTGCTCCTTTTTTTAATAAATAGGCATTGATGTTTTTTAACTGAAGGGGAACAGCATGAAAAGAAGAGCATAGCAGACAATAAAAAGAGAGGCAGGAGTCTGAGTATGCAGCTGAAAAAAGTCACAAGCAATAGAGAGGCACAGTTGAAAGAAACTCCAGGAACGAAAGAAACTCCAGGAACATAAGAAATAGCCTTTAAAACTGCCTTCACAGTCGAGAAAATCATGAGTGATCTTCTACTTCAGCTACACTTTCTGTGCTATTACTAGATTCGCTGAGCAGCCAAAGTTATTGATCTCAGACATGAATATACTGAACAACTGAGGATCTCCAACTCTCCGCAAAGCAAATTCTAAAGGTTTTCAACCCTTTGTATGAAGACATTTATCCTGATCCGTCTTAAATAGCTGACCCCTTATTTTGTCTCTCTAGGCTGAAGACACATCTTCCCAGCATTTAACTTGTCAAGCTATTGTAGAATTTTGTATGTATATTGTGTATTGATTGTTTAGTCACAAAAGGATGTAGTTCCCAACGTGAAATATTGTTTTTTCTTTCCCTTCTGTTTTTAGCTTTCCACTCTCAGAGGTGCTGTGCTAGAAGATGCTGTGCCATCCACAGCTCGACACGGCACAGCTCGAGGTTTGCCTATGAAGGAGGTGCTGGAGTATGTGATTCCTGAGGTGAATATCCAGTGCCTTAGGGTAGCTTCAAATTCTCCCAAAGTAATGGAACAATTGCTGAAACTCGATGAACAAGGGGTAAGTTTTCACGCCGAATCCATATAAAGTGAATCTGATTGGCTCAAGTCTTATTTTTACTTAAATAAAGAACAATCCCTATTGAATTATTGCTGGAACAATGAGCAGATTGCACATCTATGAATGAGCAAGCGACAAGCAGATGGGGATACCAACTTGAGCAAATAGTTAGCAATAACATATGTTGATAAAGACTGAAATAAGCTTTTGTAAATGTTTACAACTATAATCATTTCCAGTAATTCACAACTTAAGGCTCAGAACAAGCTCAGAAACTTTAAAATTTACTGAGAAAAGTTAATAGGCCTGTAAAAATGCTTAATTTCCCCTCTCTAAGTTTATCTAAATTGGCTTTTCCTTGGTTCAGTACACTAATCTCTCAATGTTTCTTCCATATATCACAGTAAATGAAATGTTGCTCGTGGAAATTTTGCCTTTGTTTAATTGTTATTTTTTCTACATTATTATACATGATTCGAGCAAATATGTTGGTTTAATTGTGTAAATTTAAAAGAGAACTCAAAAGCATCCAGCAGAAATAAGTTATCAGAAAAGCAAGAAGTTGTGTCAAATTGTATGATTTTTGAAATTTGGAAGGATTTTGTTGGGGGAAATGTTTAAATAACAATTACCTCTTGTTTGTATTAATGTTTTTAATGTAATGAAGTGTCCCATGGCCCTCATAAAACAATTGTGGATACCAGGCAGGTTTAAGTATTGGAAACAGTGGTCACCAATTTCTCTTTATCTGAATGAATGCAACATTTAGAACGAGGTGAATGAATTGACAGTACAAATAAAAATAAATAGGTGTGATATGACGGCCATTGTACATATGTGGTCACTAGGTGACCAAGACTGGCACCTGAATATTCAAGGGTTTTTGACATTTTTGAAGGCCAGGAGGAAAAGGTAGTGTGTACCGCTATTAGTAAAGGATGAAATCAGCTCTATAATGAGAAAAGATCTTGACTCAGAAGATTGAGATTGGATGAAGATGTGAAATAACAAGGAAATCACTGGTGGGAGTATGTAGGCTCCTAATAGGACCTACACAGTAGGCCTGCTCATAAATGCTGGCCTTTCTAGTGATACTTGCATGCACGAAGGAATATACACAGCTTCTGATGTATCATGTTTTCTGGATTGCCCCTTCCGCTTCTTTTGTGGTCCATCACAAAGTCTGTTTGGTAAGACCAGAGTCAATTTTCTCCTAAACTGGTTACAACAGTTTAATGCATAAACATTTAGTGATCCTTGGGTGCCTGTAGTGTCCAGTAGCTTCAGAGGAAGTAAAAAAAGAGTGTGATCAATCCATAACTTGGAAAACCTGCATATTGAGTTCATTAAATTAATAAAAGTGGAGTATAGTCTATTGAAATAGGAAAAAAAAAGTCTACTTCTACTTTCTGTTAATATGTTTAAAACTGGTTAATGCCAAAGCAGTTGTGAATAGGTCTACTTATTTATCTTGAGTTTCCCTGAGGAAACTGTTAACATTCCTCATAAAGTGATCTCCGGGGAATAGACTCTCTTTCTAGGGACCACTGGTGCAACCTCAAAAGCCACTCCCACAAATGAATGAAAAATATTAAACGGTGAAGGTAAAATCACCATAGTTATAACAGACTATAGAGCTGCTTTCTAATTATATAGAGATGACTGGTGGTGGTTTAACCTGAGGGTCACCATGCCTCAGGCAAGGGGAGAGGTTGAGAAGGAGAGTCTTTCATGGTAACCTCAGCTGGTGCAAGAATTGAACCCATGCTATTGGCATCATGCCACAACGCAAATCTGCCCTATAGCCAACGAGCTAATCTGAGCTCGTCTCTTTTTTTTTGTCACTTGACAAGAGGTAAGAAAGCAGATTATGTAAATTGTTCAAAAATTACACATTGTTTCAGAAAAGGTTAACCTAAAATGATAAAATGAAGAGCTATTGCCTTGTGGATCGAATTAGTGTTACCATAACAACAGCATTATATGCCAGCAATGACTGATTAACCTGTCTTCTCTTTTGATTAAGGTATTGGGTAAAGGAAGTAAAGGGTGTGATACATTCTGATGACAATTAGATAGTCAGAACAGACTCAATTTTATCATTAAACTTTCGCATTGGAGTAAACGACTACTATAGCATTTCATGCCTGAAATATGCTCAAAAGGCAGTCCATTGTTCAACAGAGCATAATGAAAAGCTGAACTGTTCAAAGTCTAATAAATAATTCACAGCTGTCTACGCATTATAAGTATCGAGATTTATCAGCCTTGCATAATCTTATCCTGTTCATCTGTTGAATTGCTGTATTCATACTGTTTCAATTCAACCCGATGTATAGCTGACATGAATAGTTCACCAAACAGCAGTTCATCACGTTTATCCGGTAAATAGGAAATTGGTCAGAAAAATTGTAACGTTGTTGATTCATTTTAGCACACGGAAAATTTTGTTGGTATTTAAGTCAGAATTTGCATTCAACTTAATTTGTGGAGTTTTTATAAGATTTTGTTTCTTTTAAACAATGGAAAAATATTGTTAATTTTAATTTATTTTACTTAGCCATGTAATACATTGCAAAATACTTAGAGCAGGGTTAGTACAGTCCAGTACATCTAAATAGTTGCGGGATCAGGATGCTATAATAGAGTTCATTACACTTCATTGGTTACTGTATCGTGTAAACATTGTTTGAAACCAGTCAGATTAATGTTGAAATTAGAAAGCTCTACTAACTGAGGACCACTCTTTAGCATTTGACTTTCTTTAGAATGTATGTTCAAATTTGCTTTGATTCAGTTCTTTGACTTTGCATGGCTGAGCTGTTTGGTATTTCAAGTGCCAGTGCTCTGGCATCAGCTGTTGATGATTCCACATTGGTGGCTACCACCGGCTCAGTGCTCTCTCATTAAAATCAGACTATCTCTCAACTGCTGCATAAACTCTTGGGCCCAGCTGCAATCGGTGGGAAAATGACCTACTCATCATTAATTTGCTGGGAAGTTCATAGTTGTCCATTCCTGAATGGTGAACACAGGCCAAGGCAATAAACAAAAATAATAGAGAACTGTAGGTGCTGGAAATCAGAAACAAAAACAGAAATTTGTGGAAAAACCCAGCAGGTCTGGCAACATCTGTAGAGAGAAAGTAGAATTAATGTTTAGGGATGTTAATTCTGCTTTCTCTCTACAAATGCTGCCAAACCTGTTTATTCCCACAAATTTCTGTTTTTGTTTCCAAGGAGGTAAACTTCCATTTCAAAAACCTTCTTTCAGCTTTTTTAAAGCAAGCAAATTGGCCTCATCAATAAAATGACTTATTGTAAAATTGAGGCACCAACAAAAGCCAAAGATTTTTTTTTGAATCTCTTGTCCTTGTCACCGTAACTTGACAAATGGCATGCTGCTGTTTCCTCTTGTACAATGAACAGAATGATTGCTACCTATGGTAGCAAGTTATTTAATTCACGAAGCGAATGAAGTCGACACTACATGGTTCCCCTTCAAAATTTCAAGACAACTAGGAATGGAAAGTAAACATAGAGTGGCTGAAATGCCCACATCCCAGGAAGAAAGTATGTTTTTTTAACAATTTGCTCTGTCTAATTTTATGGTACAATCAGTTGGTTTAGAGTCCTACCAGAGAGGGAAGTCTTGAGTATGTGTGTTTCAGTGGTTCCTTATTTTTCCAGATGTTGTTGAGATTGGAACAGGTAAGGTTTAAAACAAAATGAATCCGAATAATGGTTGAATTGATGCCAAACTTGGAATAAAATACCAATTAGTTGTAACAGAAGGGAAATAATGAGAGATGCTAGAGTTTTAGTTTCTGTGGAAAAGAATGACTGAGCTTTTGAGTCTTAATATCAGTGCGGTGAGGATAAAAAGAAGAGAGTGAATGATGAATTTATAACCAACAAGAAAGGAGACATCAAAACATCATGTGAATATTTGCCATTGAGTAGAGTCACTTACTGACAACAAAATTTCTTCTATTCAATCAAGAAGTGAAAGAACATTCATTAATGGGTTGGGGCAATACAAAGAGCTAAGAAGTTTTGAAAGGCAGATGGGTGTCACTAAACACGGGATTGTTCTTCTTGGCCTTAGCTTTGCACTGCGTGAGATATGTGCATTGCATTTGAGACCAGAGAAAATAGCAAGGCAAAAAATATAACTGCCCCAATAAAATGGGTGAGAGTCAAGAAATATAGCCCTCTCAGAAGAATCTTAAGATCGTAAGATTCTAAGAAATAGGTATAGCAGTAGGCTATTTGGGCCTTCTCCATCATTCAGTAAGATCATGGCTGATCTACTGTGGCCATAACTCCACTTGCTTCTCTGTCTCTCATACCCCTTGATTGCCTTGTCAATCAAAAATTGTGCCTGACCTAGTGTTGAGTATATTCAATGACAGGAGTGAAGAAAAAACCAACAACTAATAAACCTCAGAAGAAAAAATAAATGGGAGAAATGTTATTTTTAAACAATGGTGCACAAGGGAAACAGCCTTCCATCATTCACCCTGTCACATCCTCTGAGAATTTTGTATGTTTCAACAAGATCTCCTTTCATTCTTCTAAACTCCAATGAGTAAAGGTCAAATCTGCTTAACCTTTCCTTCTACAATAACCTCTTCAGTCCAGGAATCAGTGTAATGTGCTGCCTCATAATAAATTCATATGCAGTTATATCCTCCTTTAATTAAAAGAGGCCAGAAATGTCTGCAGTGTACCAGATATGCTGCCACTACAGCTCTGCAGAAACGTGGCAATGCTTAACTAGTTTTATATTCTACTCCCCCTTGCAATAAGGGCCAAATTCTCTTTGCCTTCCCAATTGTTTGCTCTACCTACTTGTTGACATCTTCTGATTCATGTAACGGGGCACCCAGGTCCCTCTGTATCACAAACAACTGCAGAGAATGCTGGAGAAAGTCAACAGGTCTGGCAGCATCTGTGAAGAGAGAAACAGAGTTAACATTTTGAGTCCAGTATGACTTC